ACCTGGGATCCTACCGGTTTGACTCTCTTCGCTTTTAAATGGGGAAATGACAGACTTAATATGCGATTTAATACGTGTCTACCTGACGATACGCTTTCCGCGCCACGTAGGCGACCAGATTTTTGCGGACCGTCTCTTACCTCGTTTTCCTCTGTTCGGACACTTGATTTTCCACGGGGTGGACGGTGTTTCAGGGTGAGAGGTCAGCTGGTGCGATCGATTGACGCGGACTTCAGGGTGAACTTGTTGGGTCGTTCTGTGAGTTCGTGACGAGTTTTCTAATTTTGATCGATATTTCTAAGGAACCTTCGAATTTCGGTAAAAAAGATATAAACTTTTCCTAATTTTTTCTGTAAAATTATGTCGTCGCTGTAGAATTTTCTTGGATTTTTATTGAGACATTTTTCGCTTTCGGCAGGAACTTATGGGATGACCTGACCTTTCTTCTTTGACTGTACGGGGCTAACATGTACGGGGAAAGTTTATTTTCAATTTTGAGGAATTAATGAAGTACATGATGTTTACCCTAATCTTCGAAACAAACAGTAAATCATAGCATAAAACAATTTTAAATAGAAATAAAAAATATTTGATTTTATTTACAGTCAGAGTAAAGTGAGCTTTATTGAAGTATGGTAAACAGTACACTGGTTTCTAACTTGATTCTTCAGAAAAAGTGATATTTCTCAGTTTATTCGCCTCTCTGTTGTTCATTATTCTTCTTGAAATGGAAAACTGTTTCAACATATTTTGTAGATTGGTGCCTATTACGGTGAAAATAGTGAAAAAATGACTAGCTTAGAACGTAGGAAAGGTTCAACGAAATAGAGAAGGCACAATACGGGGTCTACACTTCCGTTCATAAGTATTTAGGACACTTCTGAATGTGAAGCAAACCTAAGCAGTCGTTACGAAGTTATTGAGGTCTTGAAAAACATTATTCCGGCTGGAATTTTGTAGTGCAACGACTGCATTAACTTCTAAATGTCAGTTTCCATTTAAGGTTAGGTTAGGTCAAACATTTTTAGGTTAAGTTAAACATGTTATGTATAGTTAAAAATGAGATACTATTAGTCTGTCGTTTGATTATGCCGCACCAAACATTGTCACAGAATTAAGTTTGAAAATGAGCGTCGTAGGTCGTTGAACTTATCTCCGCAACCGTGCATCAATTTTAATAAATTCGTGGTATCGTCGTTATGCGAGAACCGTTGCAAATTTGAAAACTCTATTCAAGCCATCGTATTGTGTAAAAACTACAACGAAAATTTGTCCTTTCTTATTTCTTCCGTAAATCTAGCACTTACGAGGAAAACCTGAACACCCTTTGTACAGATATATGACACTAACTTTGACAAACAAGACTGTTTCCTCGTTAAATTCTTGAATTTAACCATCTCACTGTCCAAAATAGTGTAAAATAGTTCGTAGTCGCTAATAACCAAGTAGTTGATGCCGTTTAAATCACTGTATTAAAAAGGACTGTAATTTAAATCGTACAAAGCGTCCTGCGCGAACATAACTTACGCCACAGTTAGTTCGACCTAAAATCATTCTCTCCAACCCAAAACCGTTCCACCAAAAAAAGAAAAACAATATCACACAAAATCCAACAATCCCATCAGTGTATACTTTCCGATAATACGACGTGTAATTTAGAGAAACTCTCTAAAGTAACCGATGAGTCGTAATCTCGACTAAACCGTCGGTGAATTAATTTCGCCGCAGAGCTGTCACGAAATTATGTAAATTTGCTTTACAAGGCTGGGACACGAGGCTTCGTTCGTTCCTCTTTCTCTCTCTCTTTTCTTTTTCTTCTTTCTATTTCTGATCCGGATTGGAATTCCTTGAGTTTCCAAGTTCGGGAACGAACTCTCCTAGCCGGTGCGGCCTGTTGGAAGAAGTGGAAGTCGACCGGTCGTGCGAGATTCTCCTTATCGACGCGAGCTGTCCCGTGTTCGGCCCGTTCCCGAGCCCGAAATAGCGTCTTCGGGCCCACCTCGTGCCTTTCCAGCACCTACCTTCGAAAAAGAAACGTAACCCTAGACGTATCGCGGTGTCATGTCCCGCGCACCTGGCGGCCTCGTTCTTTGTAACACGATACACGCGTTTCTTCTTCTTGTTCTTCTTCTTCTTCGTCGTTGTCCCCTTTGCTGCCGTTCCTTCTCCTCTCCTACTTCGTCGCTGCTCCCTCCTTGCCCTTACTACGTTCGTGAATCATACGCGAAGGGAATGGAAGGAAATAACGAGCGAGCGACATTTAATATCAACCGTTTAACCAACGAGGACGAGTTCATTCTCATTCTCGTCGGTTGAAAATTCTCTTTCGCCGTGTATTTCGTTTTATTAGAATAGAATTTAGAATTATATTTAGCATAGGAAACTTTAGATACGTTGGGGTTTTTCGAAAAATAATGTACACCTTTGCTAATGAGTTTCATTATTTAAAATTTCTAAAATTTATTGCTTTCTGAATGGTAAGATTTTTTTAATGCTGCTTCATTGAAAAAGTTTGTTGGAATTTACCGTTAACGCGCGTGCTCTCTCGGTGCGTAACCGGGGAGTCTTTTGACCTAGGTTTGTTGCACCCCTTGCTGGCCTAAGGACTCCAAGAAACCAGCTAGTGCCGTCGTCCAACTAGAATCCCACGCTTAGGACCGCCACAGTAGGTCTACATTCACTAGTAGAAAACATACGTAAACAATTACGTGTTGTTTTTTTCACGATCAATCAAAACTTTCAACAAAATTGTTTAGATGTTTGAAGAAATGGGAGTTTTTTGGGGATTTGCCCGCGGGGCCCATACGCTGCCCGTGCGGGCAACGACTGGACGGCACTGGTGTAAGTAGGGGAGGATGTTGAAAAATTTCATATTCTTGACTGTGAATAGTTTTCATTCATTTTTCTTTCTATCTGGCCTTCCTCTTGGCTCATTTTCAGTGAAAAGTCACCTATCTTGAATTTTCTACACCAACGTTGAAGTGTCTTAACATTTGCATAACCTTCTTCAAATGCTAAATTCGTATTTTTACCAGCTTTTACTGTAGTTTTTTCAAGTTCAAGCTTATGTAAAAAATTATACGAATATCCCGATTATTCATCACGTCGGATAATGCCAAAACAATTGTATTATGAATTTTTTTACTATAGAGCAAATTCCTTCTTCTTTACTATTGTGGATGAAAGTTTATGGTTGGACAAAATTTAGTATATGGTATCGACCCGCCAATTTCAGTTGAAAAACGAGATTTCATTTGCACAAACCTAATAGTATCATGGAGAAAAATCATGATTGACTATAGACCCGAGCACTCGTTAATTTTTATCTGAGTGAGTTTGAAAAAATTACAGCATTGTACTCTACAGTTCATTCACATTATTTTCACCTTTTATTCGATTTTTTACCCAACGTTGAAGTGTAAATATGCTATTTTTAATAAAATGTTAATATTGAGGAGCGAAACGATTTATTTATTTATGATTTTTGTTTTTAGAGTACCTTAAACTAAGTGTAATAATTAGTATTTGATTGAGAGAAATAAAGATTGTGTAATTACATTAAATTTCGTATGCTTTTAAATGGACACCCTATTTTACTCGTAAAAAATCTTATCTCCCTTGTTAGCCAAATTTCTTTTTTAAACGAAACGTCCCATTTTCTGATAATTTAAGGTCAACTTAAGACTCGTAGTGATGTTTAAAGTTTGTTTTCCATCTAATTTTTTGGTAGCTGAAAAAGTGAAGGTATTAAATACTTCAGTTTATTTCACTTTTCCACATATTAATTTGTCGATTAATAGATTCGTCAACAGGAAAATTGTCCAGCTGGGAGAGTCATAGGTATTCTGTTTTCTTGCCACAAATGTTAATTAAAAATTACTTAAATTTGTGTCCCTTTGATCAAGAAATAGAAATAGCTTTAAGACATCCTGGAGATTAAATTCAGTATAATCTGAATACTGTTTTTATCGAGTGAAGTTTATGAAACTTTGAGTTATTGCAAATTTATAGAATTTATTAGAACGTTTTGTTGTATCTTTGAAAAATTATGAAATTTGAATATTTCACGAGAAATCTGCTGGAAATAGTTCTAGCCTGTAGACTTGGAAAATTATAATGGAAATCCAAGATAGAATTTCATTAATTAAATGTTCAAAAAACAGAAATTTGTACTCATTTGTCCAATTTGATAATTTTACACAAAAAGAGGCAAAACTGCAAGATTTGACTAAAACTAAAAGTATACAATACTTCGAGTTGCAATGAAAATTTTATTTCGGTCCCCCTGAAATCTAATAAAATTCTTTCCAATAGCACTTCGAAAAATACTCAGACCCCAAGAAATCGTCATTTCCCACGAGACAAAGGTGCGCATAAAAACATCAACTCCAACAACAGCTTAAAAAATAATATAATAAAAGTTTATTTTACACGTACAAACGAGACACAACCTGTGCACGTATGTACACAGTGTGAAATCCAAAGAAGAAACATGAAACGATCCTTTTGCATGTCCTATTCCAACTACCTATACATATAATGCGCGATGCGTAACATAATTACAGATCTAACGAGCATGAATCCGTGAATAACATCATCCTGATATGCAGTTATAATTATATCCTATGTATTAACTACGAAATATATACGCAACTAAAAGTGCACGCTAAAAATCGCAGACAAACGTCCACGTTAGCTCACACACACCGAGTCTCACACCAGTTTCCATCCAAACGACGAAAACAACCCACGCTTAATTATCTCAAATCGATCATCTCGCGAAAACCATTCTCAAAACAATTACATCGAATCCAGAAGAAACTTCGACAAACTCGTTCGAACGCCACCGAGTCCTTCTCGTTTCCTCCGAAATCCGGGCATCTCCTCGAGATCTCCACCACTCGGCCGGTACGAAGATCAATTTTCCTAGTGCAATGCCAAAAAACGTTCCGGTTAGGTCCACAGGATCACCAGGACGTTCCGGTTGGTCTACAGGATCACTAGGACGTTTCTTGAAGCACGACGGCTCCAGAACCGGGGACAGGGATCCCTGGCGGCGGCGGTGACGTCGATACGCCCAAATTGTGAGTCAACGAGTGCCTCCTGAGGTCGCAGTTCCTGCGGAACACCTTGCCGCAGGAGGCGCAGTGGTAAGGTTTGATGTCTGTGTGAGTGAGAAGGTGGGTCTTGAGGTTGCTTCTCTGGTTGAAGCTTCTGGCGCAGACGGGACACTTGTGCGGGGATTCCTCCATGTGGAGGATCTTGTGCACGGCCAAGGTCCTACTCTGGCAGAATCCTTTGCCGCATTCGGCGCATTTGAACGGTTTTTCCTTGCTGTGAATGTACCTGGAACAGAGAGAGCAACGATGGTTCTCTTTACGGTTTAACTAGACGGTGTTGATGGCTGTGTTGGAACGGTTGGAATGATCGGTGTAATGGGATTAAGGGGATTAGGGGGATTAAGAATTGTCGGAGCGTTAGAGCGTGGAAATTTTTGGTGGAGTCTGAGATGTGAGGATGATTGTGGAGTTAGGTGTGTTGACGATGTGAGTGATGACTTATTAATCCTTGGCCCTCGAAGGCCCTTTTCTCTATAAGGAAGTAGCAAAGATTAATGCAATTTTTTTAAAGTGTGGCGCGGGTACGTCGTCGTCAACAAACCCTTACCGGACCTCGTTCTATTCTTCCACGCGAACCTTCTCTTTTCCAACTCCTTCAGATTTCAGTTTCCGTTCTTTTGTCTCTCCCCGGGTTAAGACTTGCCTTCGTCCTCGAGTGGCCTAAGAAGCGCACATGTGGCATCCAGGTTCGCACGAGGACGAACGGCCCGCTTTCTATGAATTTTCTATCTATCTCTACTCCTGTCTCCCTGTCCTAACAATATAAAAACCCAGCACGCCTACACCTCCGGACAGTTTTTCCTTTACCGACCATCGCGACGTACCCGCCGAACCGCTGCCGCCGGGACAAGTAACAAAATAAATTGTATTTTCTGGACCAATTGTACGCCTGTACGACCATACGCTTATACTTTGATAAATTGAGGTGAAAACAGGGTAACGACGTTCCTCACCCACCTCAAAAATAATATTTTTATTAAATGTTGGTTCTCTCAGATTGTTTCACTGCTGAGATCTCTAAAACACAGGGCCGGCTCAAAGCCTTTTTCCCCCCTATTATCCTCCTCCAAACGTAAATAAGATTAAGGAAGAATTGAAGAAGTAAAATGCGATACTCCATCAAGTTTATGATAACTTAAGTAATACAAAGTTTATTTATATCACTTGAATAAAATGACAGAAGACTGAAATATATTGTTAAATTCAGTAGAATAACATAATTGAGTTACGAGCCTTCACTGCAGCAAATTTCACTTTTCACGTCTCAGAGAATAAAAAACAGGAATTTTGTATTTTCGCGCTCTTTTCGAATCGCGCCTCAAGCTATTGCCTCATTAGCTCGCTATCTGAGCCGACCCTGTCTAAACACGAAGGTCCATAGGCCTGCTGTCTTGGAAAATATCATGCTTAGAGTTGCCTCTAATGGTAAATATAATGTCGCTTCTTAGTCGCATCTCGAGTGCAAAGGGTTGAAGTATGTCGAGTACGAGAATGTAACAGGTATTTGGTACATGTGATAAATACGGTGACTCTTATTAATACTCGGACACTCTTTAGAACAGTACAAGTCTTTTAAAATTGGACTTAACCACTTGAGTTTTTTTGAGAAGTTAGAAGGATTAGTATACCAGATGACGTGTGCAACAAATTTTGAAAAAATTGCAATTTGTGGGAATCGTGAAGAAAATTGTAAAGGTCACATTCGACAACTTTTTTATCCAAGCCCGTAATGAAAATTTAAAAAATACGTTTTGTAGATTTGTGCCAATTATACGCATGCTGAAAATTTGATCGAAATCGGTTAACGTTACTATGAGCTACAAATTGTTAAAGATTGTGAAAATCGCACTATTTCACGTCGTTCGGCCTATAATTGTAGTAAATCTGAAGATTCCTACATCTTTCGATGCCTGTCGCTTGTTTCTCCATCTACCGATTTCGATGAAATTTTCAGCGTGTGTATAATTGACATAAATCTACAAAACGTATGTTTTAAATTTTCGTTACAAGCTCAGGTAAAAAAGTCGTAAACAGTGATCTTTACAATTTTCTTCGCGATTCCTACAAATTGCAATATTTTCAAAAAATTTTATACACGTCATCTAGTATCCTTCTAACTTCTCAAAAAAACTCAAGTCGTTTGATCCAATTTAAAAGAAAGTTATACTGTTCTAAAGAGTGTCCGAATATTGTTAAGAGTCACTGTACATAGTTGGTGTGAATGAAATTGGCGGGTTGATTAGGTAAATTTTGTTAGGAAATAGGTAATTAAAGAGTGAGTGTGCGAGTGGAGGATGTAATATATTGCAAAGCAAGGCCTTTTCATAGCCACGTGGCTGAAAATAAATAAATAATAATAATATTTTTATACAGAATAGTCGAGAAGAAGTTGGTGTGCAAAATTCAAGATTTGTGAGATTTTATTGGAAATGAGACAAGAGGAAGGCTAGATAGGGCAGACGATAATGTTTTAAGAAAAATGATTGGAAACAATCTAAGGTAAAAAATATAAAATTTTTCCGCATTCTTCCCTATTCAGTTTAAACAATTTTTTAGCAAATAAATTATTCTGAAATGAAGACATTCTAAAAGTAGCATCCAAAGAATGTTTTAATTCAGAGATTAATGATTTTGACGAATTTGGAGTAATGAGAGTGTAATAGTTGATCGTTGGGAAAACTGTATAGAGTCGAGTGGAAATTACTTTGATCAGGTATATGCGTTATTGTTTGAACAAACACGGTATAAACTTTCATACGCATTTTCTCTGTATTAGCTGTTGTTAATTGACGACGTTTATCGATTAAAATTAATTTGTAAGCGGAAAATATAATAATATGGTAGACGTAAAATAAATAATACATGGTTAAAATTAAATCCACTTTTTTAACGGTTCCCTGTAAAAATACAGATTTACATGAAAATCCATAATCTACTAATTGGTGGATATGAAAATTTGGAGTTTTTAGGATACTAAGGTATTAGGTTACTGGAGATTGTTAATTGAATGGAGGAATAAGAGGATAAAAGAAACAAGAATGTATGATTCTCTCTCTTTTGTTAGTATTTCAGTATTTGTTGGCAATTTAAATTTTATGCAACGTTGAATGTACGAAATGTGTGAAATTAATTGTGCAAATAAGAGTTCTGTAACAGTGAGAAAATCGAGGGGAGTGATTGACAAAATTGGAAAGCCAAACGTTATCAGAGAAACGGAGATTACAAAAATTACAAAATGTATGTAAACAAAGGTAATAAAACGGTGTGCTTTAGATATCAATGAACTAGAAAATTTCAGGTAAACCTTTTAGAATAATAAATTACATTGAGATAGACAAAGTAAGAAATTTTAGGTATTAAAATATGTTAAAATTTAACAATGAAGAATTAATAATCTCTGAAACATTGTGCAACACCTACAGAAATGATCCGTTATTAGTAAATAAAACTTAACCCTCCGTAGGCAATCTGGGTCATTAATGACCCAAGTAAACTTTCACCCTTACATTCCTTCGAAACAAACTTCTATTTTTATTGAAAAAAGTTTTAAACATTTAACTTAACGAACAATTCTCTAATATAGCAAAGACTTTAGTAAACATTCCAGAATTTTTTCACATTTTTCAGAGGCCAAGAACAGTAAAAAAGTTAGACTCGAACTCAAGCTACCCAATTTGCCTACATTTGCCTACCCAACTGTTGCATTAATTTTGCGCCGAGCGCAGAGATACGCCAAATATAAATGACGAAAGACTGAGAACGCATCAGCATACCACGAACACCCCGATCGATTCAAGCAAACAAAAATAGAACTTGGAAGGAAAGAAATGGCAAAATCGACAAATTTCTCTCCGTTCGAATTAACTCTCGAATTGTGTATAATTTACCATTCCGGTAAACCAGCAAACCGCGTTCACCTCGACGAGACCCGAGAACAATGCACAGGACACGGAGAACGAGAAAGGAATAAAACGGAGAAGATAGGCCGCGGCTAATTTCCAAGCGTGATACCTGTGCCCAATTAACGGGAATTGCGGACGTATCGATTGATGTTGTCGTGATTGATGAGCAAGATACGAAAAGTCCGATAAATTGTCACGAATTGATCAACGTAATTAATACACCGCCGCGATATCCCGGCCGCCGTCATAATTACACGTCGAGCCGTATTATTTCGTCGTATTTAGACGCGGCGAAGATTGCAATCAATTTGAGAGAACGCGAGCGCGGATCTCGTCGGAGAAGAAAGCACGTTTCACGAGGCGCCATGATTGGTGTAACTACTTTTGCTGTGCACACTTTGCTCGGCCAATAAGCACGCGTAATAGCAACTTTATCTTCCGCGTCCTTTCCGCGAAGAAGTTCATCGTCAGGCTGTGTTTTTCTTTTCTTCTCTCTTTTTTCTCGTCACTCTCTTAACCGGCGCGTCTCTGAATAGAGGTAAATTGAGTTCAATTATCGTCGGTTCTAATCCTGGCTAATTTCGGATTTACATGTACCGGGTGGTGAAATTGTTTTGTCAGATGTACGAGGGTAGGGAGGATGTTTGATTTGAGAGACTTGTGGGAAACTTTTTTAACCCTCTGACTGCTCGCTAAAATGTGGTGGAAAAGTGGAAACTGTTTTTACGACTTAACCAGTTTTCTGAGTAATTGGCTTCAGTTTTATTAATGATATAACTTTTTCAATCTATGCTGATTTCTTTTAGTTTCATTGCTGCAGCCCCACCGGTGCAAATTCAAACGAGCCGCCACTGGACTTAACACCTTGCACTGTGAATATATTTTTCGGCGACAAGCTAATTTTGAAAATTGTCGTGTATGAGTAAAACAGATATTTCTCTTGAATTTTTCGTGAAAAAATTTTAGTTTTTAAAAATTAGGCATCGAAGCTTATTACGAGTGTGCCTCGTGTTATTTCTGTGCAAGGGGTTAAATTAATTGCGAGTAGTGTGGATATATGCTTTTACTTTTCCTTATCTAATTTTGAATGATTTTACCGAGATATTTGCACCCATTTTTTGAGCTCTACAATGTTACGTCCTATGTGAACCTCTTGCAAAGTAAATTTGAAGCATTTAAACGCTCAAAGGGTTAAATATGGTCAGATACTTGAAGAGTAGCCTTTGGTATAATGTGAAAAATTTCAGCAATTTAAATTAAGCTGGTGAAGTTTCTGTGGTAACAAAAGTTCATTTTGTTTTTCTTTTTTGCTAGATATGGGGTAGAAAGGATGTCTAACTTGAAATTTCTGCAAAACTATTTTAAATATTATCAGATACTTAAAAAATATGTAATGATTATTTATTTGTGAGAAGTTTTTCTCAAAGATAAGTGCATAAGTACTTTTGAAAATTCGTGAAATAAGTTGCAAAATCAATGCCAAATAAATAATTTTACACGAGTAACTCGTGAAGTGATAAAAAGAGGCTGAATGGAAAGGAAGTCAGAAAATTATACAAGGGACAAAGTCATCTAGAGTAAGCATTTTTTGTCCAAAACGAGCAGTGTTAAATTCTACACGTGTTATCAGTTACGAAGAGACCTAAAAATTTTGCAATAATGATTTAATTCTACAGAAACTGCAGCAACGTCAATTTCTTTGTCTCCTTTTTTTGACCAAAAATGGTAAATTAATCCGCCTTATTGGTTATTTCTTCACAAATGAGTAATATTCGTTAAAAATTCTTTGAGATTATTTTACAGAAAACATGCAAGATGTGATCTATACCTCTGGGGCAAGATGGGACAAATGAGTGGGGCAAGATGGGGATGTGCCCTACCTAACCTCACTTAACTAACCTCTACTAATTCTTTTCTTCGCATTTTCTTCAGTTTCAGTCCTATTAAGGACATTTTAACATAAAGTTTACGACACGAGCGAAAAATTCCGCTATTTCTGAGAAGATCGAATATTACTGTGGAGCATGTTGTTAATTTTACTGAGTGTTAGGTCATCCCATGAGTTGCTGTTGAATTTTAGAATTTAGATCGATATTTCCAACGAAATATTGGTAAAAATTTGATAAAAAGGACATAAGTGCCTTCTGTTTCCACAATTGTTTTTTTTTATAAAACCATTATATCGTTGCTATGGATTTTCATTGAAATATTTTTCGCTTTCGGCACCAACTTATGAGATGACCTAATATTTTAGTGAGTTCCTACTCAGTAACGAATGATGTATCCTAATCAATCAGTCGCAATTATGAGACTGTGTGTGCGCGAGTGTACTTCTGGAAGATTCTGGAAAATTAGGTGACATCAAAAAAGCAACTGAAGAGGGAAAGTACACAAATTGTAAAAAGCTGAAGAAGAAAATCAAGAACAACTTGGAAGTATTAAACGAAGAAAAAAATAAATTAAGCAACATGCTTGTCAAGAGGATCTCCATTTTATCTTTGTTATTTTTACTCTCTTTATTTGTGTTTACCTCTACATACAGAGTGTTCCATTTAACTAAAAACGCTGGAATATCTCACGAAAGATGGAAGTTACAGAAAAACTATCCTTACAAATGTTGTTCCTTATATAGAGGCACATTATGTGGTGCAAATAATTTTTCTATAGGTGAAGTAGTAGGGGGGATGATATCTAAGTCAAGTTAATTTTTATAAATGGAAGTGATGGAATTTTTTTATTCAAAATATGATAGCGTTTGTTGAGATTGCATATCAATCCACACAGCTTTGGACACACTTTACGTAATGTCCACTTCATTTTGTCCCTGATTACCTCATCTTGCCCCCATACAAGACCAAACTTACCCCGCATGGGGTATTAGATGGGTATAAGATTAGCGTTCAAGAAAAAAGAGGTTTATTTAAGTGTTTAATTCCTGTGATCTGAATTTTGTTGCACAAATTTAAAGACGAGTGTATGCCGATTCTAGAAACGCTTTAATACACGAAGAATACGCTTGATTTTATTCACGCTTCTCTTTAGAATCCTCGTCTTACCCCACATTCCTCTACGCAATCTTAATCAACGATTAAGAAAATATTGAACGCTGATAAGCTTCCAAGACGCAGAATAATGCTTCAAATTGTTACAAGGTTGCAACTTCAGATAAAATCTTAACATACCGAGTGTTCGAATTATAAACGAAACATTAGAAACTTTAAAAGATTTTGCAGAATAGGTACCAAAAAATTGAAAAAATCCTAACCTTCATACCGCTAAAAAGCGGTAGAATTATAGTTAACAAAGACAAAAACACCGAATCACAAAATACTCCATCGAATACGAAGAATTATACGTATCTACAACTCCAAAAACCTCCCCAATTTTCCACCAATATTTAACGCAGAAAGCAGTGTTAACCAAACAGACAGATTAATCAAATCCTCGATAAAAAAAGAGACCTACCACGCCGTAAAGCAATCTACAAAATTTCAAGCAGCGACTAAACTACAAAATCTCGCAGAAAACCCATAAAACAGTGAAAAATGTCCAGCAACGATTAAGTAAGAAATCGAAAAACACGAGGTAAAACATTAAAAAAGAAAAATCGCAAAGCTGACCGATCTACGTTCACCAACTTACCTATGGTCCCTCAGGTGATCTTGCCGTCGGAAGGCCTTTCCGCAAATGTCACAGGAATACGGTCGCTCGTCGGTGTGCGTTCTCTCGTGTATCAGCAGATTGTAGCTCTTCGTAAACTGTCGGCTGCAGAACTTGCAGATGAACTGCTTCTTAGGCCTGGACGCCCTGCAGGTCCGCGGTATGCTCGGCTCGGCCGAGGTAGACGTGGCCTGTAGCGGCGACGACGAGGACAACGAGGACGAGGAGGACGACGAACAAACGGACGAAGAGGCCGGCGACGTGAACGTCGAGGCGGTTATTTGCGACAGGGACGTTGATTGCGTTACGGTGGTCGCGGAACTGGAATTCACGCGACTCCCTTCCGATATCCGTCGCAACAGTGCCTCCTGGTTCGCCGAAGAAGTCGCCACGGACGTGTCTCTCAGCAACACTTCCTGCTCCTCCAACAGTGCCAGATCCTCCTCGGGATCTCCGATAAAATCCAACCGTCCCTCCTCTTCATCGTCCACAGACTGCAGCAGTCTCTCAGCGGTCAGCTGATCGTTCTTCGACGGTGTCGTCGAGGCCAACGCGTTCTCTAATCCGGTATTTATCGGCGAACACCTCTGATTAGCCAGTCCCGAACCGGTGGACTGATTGACACCTGTTGCCGTGCTGCTGGCGTGCAGTCGATGAAGGGTCAGATAGGTCTCCAACGCCTGGAGATTGAGAGCGGCCGCTGCTGCGTGTCCAGGGGGAAGGAGTGCAGCTCTTTGAAGGGCGGCCAAGAGGGCACCTTGTAGACCAAGGGCGACGCTCTGCAAGGTGAAATTCGGCAGTCCGGCCTCTGTGACACTGGCGACGTCTTGTAGCTCGGTACTGGTGGTGGACGTGGTTGTCGAGGAGGAGGAGGACGAGGAGGAGGAGGAGGAAGAAGAGGTGGAGGACGACGGGACCATTACGATTCCCCGCTCCTGCTCCTGGTTCTGTTGTTGCTGTTGCTGTTGCTGTTGCATCCTCCCCCGTCGCTAGAATCGTCCCGGGTCAGGCTGAGGAGATGTCGACGTGTTGCCGGCAGCATTGGCGAGGGTGATCTGTCTTGTCCGTCGCTTCCGTCCGTGTGTGGCGAGCGTGGTGTTCTTTTTTTTTTGTTTTTGTTTCTTTTACAACAATCGACTCTCCCTCTCTCTCTCTCTCTGGCTCTCGATTCACTGGCCGACGAGACGAGCTGCGGCGGGAATCGTGGACCACATGCTCGGCAATTCTGTACCGTATGGGGAAGAATCGCGAACAATCGATATGGGGGAATTGTGGTGAAACAGGGTGGACGAACGTGCAAACGGCAAAGAGGAAAGACGCGCGCGCGATGCTGGCGGTGCGAAGGCGCCCCGACGACTGCTCCTGCCTCTCGCTGCTGGGCACTGTTCGTGGAGACACCTGGTGGCAGGTATCCGAGGCGAGTTGGGACCGTTTGCGAGGAACGGGCCCCGGATTCTGGAGAGAGAGCCCCACAGCTGGCCCGCAATTGCTCGCCGTTTCGGCGTAAACAGCGTCGTTCGTAATCTCGCGTGCACGCGTCACTGCGTGCACGCGGCTGCACGTGCGCGCGCCTCCACCAGCCCGTCAGGGACAATCCTGGATCGTGATCCTTCGAGCGTTGTTGTTTCGTTCTTCCGACGATCGAGATTTCAGACGACGCGAACGCGAGTTCGTAAGATTGCGCGTGTTACCGCTGTGATAGCGTGTAAAGTCCGGGGTTAGGGGTCCGGATTAGGTGAATTCTTTGAAGATGATCGATGTGGAGTTTGCGGAAATTTTCGGACCGACATTGGTGACCAATTAAAATAGATCTAAGCCTTCGTTACGTGAATTATGATCACTCTGTTGCGTCGATTAATGAATTTTTGACGAGTGATATAGGTTATCGAATGTGAAACAAACCTAAACTGTCGTTACAAAAGAATTAGATGCTAAAAAAATTATTCAGTCTATAATCTCGTAATATGGTTTTACCGATACACAGGGTGGGCCGCGTAAAAGAGGCCACCTAAATAATTATCTTCTCCAGCTATGGTGGTACGAGAAAATTTGGATGCGCAATCTTAATGGCTTCAAGAGACGAATCAGATGGAAAAAAAAATTTTTTTATAAATGTCATTTTTTAATGTTTCTTCCAAGGTCGTATGCACGTAATTTCTTGTGCAGTGTATTATAACTAACGTGACTGTGTGTCCACATAATTTCTTCTGTAGTATGTTATAGCTAACATTACTCTGCATTCGTCCATGTCTTATAGTGTGACCCTGAAACGATCTTAGACGCTAAAATTGAATATCCAGAAATTTCCTTTTTGCCACTTTTTTCACTAAACAAATTCTTCCTCCATCTTATTCGCCCTTTGAAACCATTTAAATTGCGTAAAAAATATAGAGAAGATATTTTAAGGAGAAATACTAAATTTTGTAATATTTTATTTCAACCAACTTCGATTTTACGAACATATTTCACACAGTGCTATTCTTACAAATGTACAACTCGGACGGCACCCTGTCGGCCGAAATCCACTCGACTCTTCATTTCTCCCGTTTGCAACGAAATTTTCACGAATAGCACGGAATGTGTTCATTCAATTACACGGCTCTAGAGCTCGAAGGTTAAATTGGTTTCTATCTGGCGACGTATCGGTAAATCTTCGCGCTTCTGTGTCCCCGGCTATCATTAAAACGTCGCCAATTAAGAATTACGAGGTACTTACGTAATGTACCGTGTGCCGTGAAAGTAATGAACAGCAAATTCTGTCATAGCGTGTGTCACCAACGCGATACGTACTTACACGTTGGGCAATAAACAATGTGAATACGACGTTGCCTGTTCGTTTCCGAGCTATTCGCGCTTTTACAGACCGAATACGCGGATATACACTGTCATGCTGATGAAAAGGCACGTAGGGTGAAATAGGGAAACGCTAAACGATACCTCGCGGCCTCGGTGGAATTAATTGTTCAGGTGTCTTGCTCGTAAAATACTTGAAACGATGGTTTCACGGTTAATTTCGTATTGACCAGTCGCGCGATTTTAATTAGACTTTCTTGGAACATCGGCCAAGCAACGTTTGAAGCAGGATTTTCTTTCTTGCAATTGAAATTTTCGAAAGATCTGCTCTCGACGGTTAAAACGATCTCTATGCTGGTTTCTTTATGCTAAAATATTTGGAAATTTCTTTTTAGACGTTCCCTCAGGTTAATATTCTCGAAGAAGAATTATTGTGTAGTGTAGGATAAATTGCCACGGAGTGAACATGTGCATATTAATATTTTACGAGCAATTATTGTTAGAGATGTTATTATGTTCCCTTCGTAATTGTCACTTCAATCTTTGATATTACATAAAACTTGGACAGGTCTTCGTGTTAATTTGTAATTTTAAAAATTTAATTTTTTTAATTTAGCGAGTAGCAAAAAATTGTAGTCTAATTGATAAATGTAAATAATTCTGAAAATAGGTGCGCAAATTAATTTGGTGCCCTCCTTCGCAAACTTCAATATTTATTTGCAAAAAATTAAGCACTCAAAGTAAGCTCCATTATTTTGGACGAACTTTTTCCATTTATCGGGTAACTAACAAATTCCCTCTTTGAAAAATATGGCTGGTTTTAGTTGATAAAGTCGTTAAGATTCTGTATCAAGTATGAGACAGGGCGTCGAATTAATTTGTAACACCGAATTTCACCAGAATTATTTACCTAAAGGGAAAAGAAAATCTAGATGACAGGTGCTTTCAGTTCATTTCACTAGCAACAAAGAGATTTCTTCAGTTTAACAAATTCATTTGTTAATTGCCGATTAATAATATTCGTCAAGCTGTAAGTAGCTGTAAACACTGTACTAACTAATCTAACGTTCAGACAACACTTGACTTATTCAAAACGGTTACACAAATATGTGTAAGTGTATAGTAGAATACGAAAAGAAATTATACATGTTGTTGCAGAAAATAAATGCTTGAAGAACATAAAAGTTCAGAGAGAAAAACGTGTACCGTTAACTTGATTTATAGTTCTATAGATCACAGTGTGATGAGCACAAACGTACACACGACTTTATACACCGATGAGATCAATAGCAATACTTCATTTAACATAACGAGCCTATTTTAACTACCTATACCCACCATTCCTACGGCTTCATTATTTACGAAATCGCACGAACTCTGTTCGTAACCGTGAAAATTATTCGAACTATAGTCTTACCCAATCGGTCACAGTCAACTTCTTGGAGCACGAAGTTTGAAACTTCAGCGTTTCAAGTTAATCTCTTACGAAAATTCGTTGTTTCCTTCAGGATTCAGAGATATCTTTTTTTTTCAAAATTTTGGAATTCAGAGACATCTTTCTACTCAAAATTTAGGATACAGAGGCACGCTGCTTTGTCGAAATTTAAGATACCTTTCCTTTTTCCTTTTCAATCCTTTCCTTTCAATCCTTTTCAAAATTTTAACCAATTCTTTCAACGTTAACCACGGTTCTATTAAAGCATCGTCCTCTATCTTGCTCATTAGTTTTGTTTACTCAGATAGCACACAGACGTCTTGCGGAAGCCTGAAGATGTCCAAAAGACGTCTTAACGACGTCCAGTGTTACGAATCAGGACTTTTTCGAAAAGTGACGCTGCGAAACACTGTGCGTTGACTTTAGAAATGTCTTAACCCTAGTGCGTTGTTCGTTTCGACTTAAGACTTTTGGGTGAAAAAGGACCGAAGACCTCATGTGTAATAATTTTTGTTTCCAACGCGACATATGGACCTAGACAATAAACGTTTAAGATAATGTTAAGGAACGTAAACTCGATAACAGCGAAAATGACTAAAAATATAAAAAGGCGGTGGGTCAAAAAAGACCCGGAGACCGCTCGAGGGTTAAAAGTGTCTTAAAGACATCATTTTTATACGTTGTTGGAGCGTATCAATTCGTACTTGCGTCTTCGAGACGCCTAGATCAAAAATGGATCTGAAATGGACTTCTCTAAGGCACTGTGCTATTTGATATTAAACGATGCGTTTTATACTCGTACACACGTAATATGAATGAAATACGAAAATGTGCATTTTTCAACTACCGTGAACGAGTTAATTTTCAGCTTAACACACACATTTAAAACAACGAATAGTACTCACAGTAGAAATTATGACGAAGCTACGGAAAACACAGGTTGCATTAACAACAAAGATTGCTTTGTAACGCCAATTTCAATTTTAACTTAACCCTTTTGTGGAGTTTGTACAGTTACACGAATACGTAAATTTATATTATACAGGGTGTCTCAGCTGATTTTAACATCTTGATTTTCTCGTTATTATTACTCAAAGCGAAATATGTTTCAGACGAAAGTGAAACTTTTCCACTCGTGAAAGAATCAGTAAGACCGGAATATGCCCCCTTCGGCACCGTTTAAACTTCATCAAAGAGAAAATCAAGATGCCAAAATCAGCTGAGACACCCTGTATATTTACGAGAAATGAGTATAAAAAATAATACCGAGTTCGTTTAATTTAATTAAACGTGCACAATATTGAAATTATACGACATATTGTCGTTGACCTTCTTTTCCTTCGCGTTCCTCCATTTCGAGATATTGTAAAAAATCGTATAAATTTTATTCATTTCTGTTAAGATTATTAGTGTTTATTAGATATTTAAGGATATGGAAAAGTTTCAGTCCTTGTTCAATAACAGCGAAATGGGAATTTGTGACTTGACTTTGGGTCCAAATTACCCAACTTCCGCGGAAGGGTTAACTAATACAACCCGCCATATTTTTGCTTTGCTCACTATTTTAAGGTCACCCATAAGTTCGTCCCGGAAGCGAAAAGTATTTTAATGAAAATCCCGTAGCAACGACACAATAGTCTCGCCGAAACGAAACAGAAAAAATTTGTAAAATTAGAAGACACCTACGTGTTCCTTAACGAACTTAAAGCTTCCTTAAGAATATCCATCTAAATTATAAAATTCGCCAGGGCTCGTGGGATGACCTAATAAATGTCCAACCGTAGCCACAAATTTGTCATTTAGCTGTAAAATTTCTTTTATTTCAAATTTATAGCGAACAGTTAACGTTTGCACGCGAGGCAAGTACCAAAACTCACAAGCGATGAGCTAAACTGAAGCCAGCCGTTACCCAGAAAAAGCTTCGATCCATCACGAAACCGCGGAAGAAGCGTGGACCCACCCTCCGACGGTCCCATAGTTGAAGCTCCATCTCTCCTAGCCGGAACGGGGCGTTCTTCACCCCTCGTAAGGGAGGCGTCGACGGTCGGTGGGCCGCTGTAGAGGCTGCGTGCCGCCGCCGCGTTTCGCCTCTGCTGCAAAGCCGGCAACAA